CCCGCCTTCGCATTGGTCACACTCGTCTTACTCATGGGTATCTCATGGAGAGGCACCCTGTTCCTCTCTGTGAGCAGTGTCATGTTCCAGTATCAATTAGCCACATTCTGTTAGACTGCCCTCTCTATCAACGAGCACGCAAAATTTACCTCCAACGTCTTCGTTCTACTACTCTTTACCTTCCCTTCTTGCTGATGGACCCTCCTTTAATCCTGACTCTCTCATTGACTTCTTGACAACGACTGATTTACTCCACAAACTCTGATACTTTTCGCACTCTCCTCAGCCCTTTCTAGTTCAGTCTCTTGCTGCCGTTTACCCTTTCACCATCCACTGCCCCGCTGTTATCCGTAACCTATTACTCATCCATCTCCCTTTTGCCACCTGATGCCCTCGCTTCCTTCCTTCCCTGCAGCGCTGTAGTCCTTGTGGCTTAGCGCTTCTTTTTGATTATAATAATAATAATAATAATAATGTGAAATTGACAAAGTATGGACTCCAACATGTCACAAGCATGAAGGTATACCCCTCTACAGTATACTGCACTAAACATTCATATTTTAGTCAGGGCGAGTGCTAAACTAATAGCGGAGGCACTCTCGCTCAGTTTATAGAAGGGAAGGTTAAACTCTTTGGATCAAGAGCCCTCACCAGCATCTAGACCTTGTTGAAGCTATAATAATGTAGGGCCTACATGTGTCAAAGTAACATCTGCCTTGGATGAGGTTACAATTTCAAATGCTAGGACAGAAAAAAAATTTTACAGGATCAATTTTATTAATATACCATGATGAGACAATACATGTATAACTCAAGAGTTCTAGGGTAACTATCCTAGTGGATTATACTGCACAGACAATGAAAACTTTTACAAATATTAAATAGGGAATGTTTAGCTTCAGGAGGCACATTATACTTTGCACTACACACACACTTCATGAAGCTCTGAATAGCTATTAACATCCATGTACAATAAATTATAAACCTATCCAGTAAATAAAACAAAATCATAGGTTAAAGCAGGCTGATAAACTATTGACTATATGCAATATGGAGAAAGTCTTTCATTCATAATTTAAATATGTGCAGAATTCAGTTACTTTCAAAGACCTTGGCATACAGGCAGCACTATAAAAGTACAAACAAGGATATTTTCATTCTATTGGGATTAATGGGGGAAGGGAAAGATTTAATTTTAATCTAATAGTTTTCTCCCTATTGGAAATGGATGGCTTAACACATCTGTACTCTGACCCAACCTTACCAATAAATTTCCAAATATGTACCAATTTAAAATAGGATTTAGGAATCTGATATGACAGCTTCTTACAACAGTAAATCAGATGAGATTTGTTTTGCCACTAGATATATGAAGGTACTTGTACGATTTGCAAAATGTCTGCCAGTCTTAAATACTGAAAAGTTAAAAATTCCAACATTCATTCACAATTAGCAAACTCAAAGGTATAGTTCCTCAATCATAAAAAAATACATTAATTTCTTGGTTTGTATTTTCATCCAATATATGAATAAAGAAATCCAGTGAACTGAATAAGCCAAGACAAGGTACTGTACTTTCAATCTGCCTTTATTTTTATGTATATTAACAAGTTTGACCACATGGTCTTTTAAAAAATGTCATCCAATTTGTAATGCTTCACATACTCCTCACAACAACAGCTGTACTCAGCAGTCTCATTAACAGGCAACTAAAAAAAAAAAAAAAATGTGGACAAAGTTTACAGATCAAGCCTTTACTTATTTGGACATTTCACTAAGTAGGTATCTTTCAAGTTCACACAACTGTTGGCATTACACCCTCCCAACCATAGAATCGTGCAATGTAAAATCTTCAGAATTAGTTCTTCGTAATCGTGCAATTTTGTTAAAACAAAACTTTCAAAGGCAATTTTCAAAACTCTGATTTCGAGCTACCAATCAAGTTCTTATTTTTGATAACATATATAAGGCCTTTCGATGATACTCAAGGATGGAAATTCTCAGTGAGCAAACTTGATTAGCACAAGGGCACTAAATAAGAGAGATGGAAGATACAAGCCAGCCTGGGAAGCACTACCAGGTGTCGTGGAGTCCCGAGCCTCTGTGGAAGGCGCTTCTGAAAGAAAGCGAGAGATTAAACACAAAATATTTCACAGCTCTGCATTGCTGGAACATATAACAAGCAATGGAACATGTTTTACTGGTCTTACTTATACACCCAAAGCTTAAATATAAAACTTAAGGTTGGTTCTGAAATTTGAAGAGCACTGATCGTGTCAATCATTCAGCACTTTGCAATAAAATAAAACATACAAGAAAATAAAAAAAAAAATATTATCATAAATAAAAAAAGTACTATCACACCAAGTTAAAAATAACACCATCAGTTTAAAAGACTGTAGTTGCTAATGCCTAAAGACAAATTTTAGAGATCACTACAGGCACCCTAGTAATTATAAAAATCACAATGAAAGAAATAAGGCAAAAATGCGTGTTACATAGTTAGCTGTACCCACACGTTCATCTCAATTCTGTTGGTGAAGAGCCAAACACCCACATCCTGTCAAACCCTTTTTAACTTATCTGTGGGGGTCAACAGGGCCTGCCACTTTCCAAGGGCAAACCCATGCATGTGGCTCAAAGTCACTAAGGCTATACAGCATGTTTGTAACAGCAACACATTGGGAATCTAAAGGTGACAGTGAGCTAAGGTCCTACTAAATAACTCAGCAGGAAAAATACTAAATACAGTAACTCAGCAGAAACAGAGCAACAAGTTTTGTGGAGCTCAGCAGTGCATGCAGAACTCATAAATGCACATTAAGAGTCCTCGGTGGCAATTATCAAAAAGCCAATACCACCCTTGGTCTGACCCATCAGTACAGACCTTTATCATTAAAGCCCGCAGAAAATCACTCATAAAAAATAGCCAAGGTCATCACCAGGGTGCTCATCTATTGCTTACAATAAGAGCATTGATTTTGTTGCACAGTGGGCACTCAGCTGGGTACCATGAACTGCAAGGAATGACCAGCATGTCAGTACAACACTTAAATGTGCATTTAACCCTTTCAGAGTCCGTGCCGTAGATCTACGGCTTTACGTTCAGCGTCCAAACCGTAGATCTACGCCATGAGCTCAGTTCACTCTGGTAAGCTGAGAGTGGTAAATTTGGGCCTAGATATGAGAAAATACATCTATGTGGTATGTGTGCACCACATAAAACAAATCCTGCAGCACACAGTGTATAATGAGAGAAAAAAACAAGACCGTGATTTTCGATTAAAACCGACTTTGCAGTGTTTTTTCGTATGTTTTTTATAGTTGTATTTGCAATTTCTTGGTCTCAATTGATAGAATGGAAGACATATTACAGAAATAGAGATGATTTTCATTGGTTTTAGCATTGGAAATGGCTTGAAACTTAGCTCAAAGTAGAGGAAATGTTAAATTTTTGCCGATGTTCAAGAGTAAACAAACGACCTCGCACATCTAATACACGCCAGCTGGTGGGCTAATATACATTCACAAATGTGGTGATGGTATTTATACAATTATTACAATATTGCATAACAGTAAATCTTCTATTTTTTGGTTTGAATAAAAACTCATTATGTGAATAAAAAATAAAAATGGAATTCACTTGTAAAGCCTCAAAACATAACTAATGAACAGAGGAAATGTTAGTTTAGTGCCAGGAATACCTACATTGTTTATTCTGGACCCGATTTTGAAACTGGAATATTTTGAACTTTAGTGTTAAATTAGCCAAATTACCAATTTCCTATCACTGTATTTTGTAGTTGAAACAGTTGACTTGGCAATTTCTTGTGCTCAATCAATAGAATAGAGGTAATACTAGTGAAATAGCTAAGAATTTGGTTGACTGGAATAATGTAATTGGCCTAAAATGGGAGTCAAAGTCGGCAAAATCGTAAATATCGCTGACACATAAAAATTCACAAGACCATAATTTCATCAATTTTCCATCAAATTTCGTACTTTTTGTTTTATTACCTTCAGAAAAAGATTCTCTACCATTTCATAAGAAAAAAACAACAATTTTTTTTTTTTAAATTCTTGGACCCTAGTGTGCACTTTGAAATTTGGCCTCTGGACCCTGAAAGGGTTAAACTCCATCATCCAATTCCAACCACCACCATATGGAGACTGCAACAGACTTGTTCATTTTCATCCATCCCATACTACAGTACAGGAGAGCAAGTCCTTGAATAACGTTTCATTATGAATTGATAATGGGTAAAAATCAAATGATACAAATTGGTTTTCACTAAAAATTAATTAGCAACAATTCGATAAATGCCAAAACAATAAACAAAGAACAAGTGCTCGATGGCCTTTTTTTTTTTGAATTGCATGAGTGGTAGAGGGATCACCCTGATACACTTGGTGTGTAGCCTAATTGTAGTATGCAGCACCAGTTCGAAACACACTAGCCAAGCACATAAGGAAATATTAAGTGCAAAGGTTTGCAACAAGACTAGTTCCAGAGTAGGTTAGGGAATCACTGAGACACTGAGATAGGGAGAGAGATAGGTGGGAGGAAGAAGATGACATAAATACGAGAGGATTACAGGTGGACAGACAGAGGATGTTCCAGAGATGGACACAGAAAAAGGTCACGTTGGAAGTGAAGATCCAGATGAATCACAGGGATGTTAGGAAGTATTTTGTCAAGAGCTTTAGGAGTGGAATATCTGGGAAGTGATTAGAAGGCAGGATCCATACATAGGCGAGGCCAGGAGCTGACTCGATCCCTGCAACCACAACTAGGCGCGCGAGCACACACTCGCACAAAATTGCAACATGAAACAAAACAGCGAGGTGTGGTTTTGTTATACGTCATTTCGCTTAAAGTCAGTTTCCAAGAACCTATCAATCATGTTAAGTGAGGACTTGCTGTATTGCACTTTTCTCTGCAAGCCAGGTAACTTGTTAAGGCTTAAAATAGGACCGAACTATCAAATTTTAGTCTCCTAAGTGCGGGTTATTTGTGTATTGTTCCAGCCACAGTATTGTGACTATTTTCTTTGACTGAAAAATAATCTGTCCATATAATTTATCAATCAGCAAAATCTTAATTCAGCTAGTCATTCAATCTCCATTTTTTTTTTTTTTTTTTTTTTTTTTAGACAAAACCAAAGCAACACTTGACAGAGAATGCACTTGACATGAAGCAGACAAGATTATTTCAATCTGGCATCCAAACATCCAGGTAAAGTACAGTTAACAAATACCACATATAGTACATCAAGCATCCTTACCAGTCATGATCACTGAAGACTCGTTCCGTGGAGCTGTAAAATATGCAAGTTATGAGCACTTTACAACATGAACCATTGAACATTTATTAACCTGTGGAAGTCTACACACTGTACACCAGAAATGAAGAGTGCACTATCAGCATTCACTCAGCAGTTAAAGTGAAAAGCTCGAAGTCTACTATTAAAAGAGCACAGTACTGCAGTGTTGGGACAGTAATTTTTAACCCCTCTTTCTGCATGCAAATTTTAATGCAAAGCCTCAAAAGGCCCGTCACTGTCAATGGCCATACACAATACGTCTACACTATTAACAATGTTATACCTGCAAAATAAAGTAGAAGACAATTTTCAGGGAACAATACAAATACAGAACCTACTTCACTAGTGGAGTCAGCCAATAGTACAATATGCCATCATAAACAAAAGATTGTATTTTCCATTAATTTAGATGCAGCCCACAAATCCAATTTAGAAAATAGGAACTAGAGATAATTAACTATAAAAAAAATCTGGGAGCAAGATTTCCAGAAATGCACTTCTAATTTTTTGCCATTTCAGTTTTCCCAACTTCTGTGTATAGCCATTTGATGCATGTGGCATTTACTTCTATTTTTAGTCATGAAATGTGGTTTTTGGGGGGAGGAGGTACAGAAGGGGTGGAGAAAAAAAAAAAGACCAAAGTCATCTGGTAATCTGGCAAAAGGTTTAGCCCAGACCCTGCTGAATCTGGTGGTGCCTACATTTTTTTCCCACCCTGCATTTTTCTCTAAAGTTTAGGTCAAAATTGCAAAACTGTCAATTGTAGAGGTAACAAGTCAGCATGTCAAACAAGTCACTATCAAACAATTTTTCTTTACCAAAATCAAGCAAATTTCTTTGCTCCCACAACTTGCAATAACTTCTGCAAACTGTGCCATCAACTGCGAGCACATCTGTGCACCATTATGCATATTAGTAGAGCTAAATGTACTGGCAAATCTAAGTACAGTATAATCAGTTACACTACTCCTTCAACCAAATCAACTGGGTTAATTCACAAAACACCATGCAAAATTCTCAGCCATTAATTAACAGTCATTCTTCAATCACTACCAAGACTGCAGCCCAGCAGCTGCAGCATGTACAAGGGATGGGATAGCCGAGCCTACAGGTTATCCTAGGCAGCAGTGCCATTTTACTGCTCAGTAGCATAGCCAAGACAACATGCTTTGGAGACCTTCCTCTTGAGAAAATGACTTAGCCAATTCCACCATTTTCAGTTGAATAGTGAAATTAAGGCAAGCTACCAGCTCAAAATAAGGCAATGACTGGGGAGGGAGGCAAGATATTCAATTTGTGGGGTAAGGGAAGAGGATAAAGCAACTATCAAAAGTCACGCTTTAAGGAGCTTCACGTCGTGCACGAGTCATACAACACCCACTCACCCGGCTCTCCTTCCACCAACTCTACAGTTTCCTCCTCCTCTATATACTCATCCACTATCTCCTCTCCTTCCTTATCCTCTACTTCATCAATTTCATTCTCTACCTCCTCACCTACATCCTCTACATCGTCCTCATTTGTGGCAACTGCAAAAATGGGAATGAAGATTGGCATTATACAAGTCAAATATATACATGTACACAAGTTTTCAAGATGGAGCAGAGGGGGTTGGACTGAGAATGTTTTAAAGAAATTACCCCCCCTCCCTCCCTCCCTCCAAAAAAAAAAAAAAATGCAGTCAAGGGCACAGAGGGTAAAGAGCATGTTAAAACGAAGGAAGGTTACTACGATGACAGACAGCAATTGGATTATTCGCATATTGAAGGGATTTAACTGAGACTATACAATGAAAGACAATGGTAAGGATGGAGCTGCCACATGATAAAGGTAGCGAGGGCAAAGCAGAGACTATCCAACTAATACTAAAATATATTTATAATACAGCATAACTAAGTTCTTCTAACATCAATACTGTAGATATTGTCTGAATATATTTGTGGTAACAGAAATGAGTAGTTTACTTACAACTCTCCCCACCTGTAAGGAAAGTTGATACACAGTGCATATAGGTCATATTTCAAGCAATTCATACAGCCAGTCTCAGTACAGATATGCCATAAAACCAGGAACTACCTTTGTAAATATAAAAGAACAGCTAATCTTAAATCTATATACAGTATAATGTACAGTTATCTTTATCAATAAGGTTATACAAGCTTGATGCAAACCAGAACAGTAGCATTTTGTTTTTCACTTTAACCAAACCCATAGGCCACTAGTGAATCTACTGATTAGTAGTTCACCAGAACTGATAATTTGTGGAAGAAGGGAAGAGGCCAAAGTCTTGATAGGAAAATCTGTTTGGCCTTCAGGAAGCAGGAACAAAATATACTTTCCACTGAAGAGTTATCTATACAACTTGATGGAAAACTATGTATGCTAAGTTATTAGTAAATGTTTAATGAATAAACTGTCATGCCTAGATTAGCTCAATTTGTTTTACACTTACCATAAACACACCCCAAATTAACCATACCACGGGCGGGATTGAACCCGCGGTCAGAGTGTCTCAAAACTCCAGACAGTCGCGTTAGGTCTGGAGTTTTGAGACTCTCTGACCGCGGGTTCAATCCCGCACGTGGTATAGTTTGTTTGCAATCGTGTCATTACGATTTCGTGAGACACCCCAAATTTATTGAAAGATGAAGCATACTGTATATCTGATCAGTTTCCATTTACCTCCAATGTCATCACCACTAATGCTCTTACTTTATCTTCCCTCCTAGCTGACAGACCCACCTATGACTGAAACCCTTGTTGACTTTTTGACAGCAAATGATTTACTACACAAACTTTGATGATCCTTCCTCTAGCATTCCTCAGACCTTTCTAACTCTCCCTCTGTTGTCCACTCCATCCTTGCTACTTTATAATCCTGCACTATCCCATGTCCCACTGTGCTGTATGACCCTTGTAGGTTTAGCTCTTCTTTTTGATTATAATAATAATCAGTTTCAAGTTTATACTACTGCAGCAAACAAGGTCTGGCTGCCGGGAGTCCACTCAGAGTGCTCTGAAAGTCAACAGTCCCCCGTAGACCCATCCTAGACCAGGTCTCCTGGTGGACCTGATCAACCAGGTTGTTGATGCTAGCTACATGAAGTTCAACATAAGGTGATCAGGAACTGATATTAGAAACTGTTGGTAATCCCCCTTATGTATGAAAGGAGGGGCAATAAGTCTTGGTCCCTTCCCACATTTCCCCTGCTGTACACTGTACCCCTGCTTTTCACTGGAAGCATTATGCACCATCTGCCATTCCATTACTTCCTCAATCTTCCATAACTTGAGTAACAAACTTGTCTATTGAACATCACTGTTTTCAGTGACCCAGTGGAAGACTTGTATATCAGCTTGTAGGTTTGCCATATCATCACTAGATGGCACTGTTAATTCTAATATCTTCTGCAAACGATGATACAGTGCTATAATTCATGCCTCTATCAGATATAAGAATGAGAAAGAACAGGAGGCAAGTACTGTGCCATGGAAAAGCTTCCAGCTATGCAGCCTCCAATTTCACTCTCTTCGCTATGATGCACTAGGGTCCATTCATCAGAAAATTAAATATCCAATTATTCCTTTAACATATGCATCGTATTCCTTTAATATGCATTTTGTGTCCTGTTATTCCATGATCTCACATATCAAAGGCTTTTCTAAAATCTTTGTACACTTCATCTGAATTTTGCTAGTCCTCCAATGCATCCAAAACCACATCATAATGATCAAGCAATTGCAAAAGGCTCTAAACCCATGCTGCCCTGGGTTGTGTAAATGTCGAGATTCTATGTGATTAGTGATCTTGCTTTTCAAAACTACCAAAGATTCTGATGAGGGATGCTGGTGCTGTCTATACCTTTCTGCGATTGCTTTACTGCCACCTTTGTAGAGTGGAGCTTATAAGTGGTTTTTAAGGACTGTGAGATGATTCATGTGTCCAAGATCCTACATAGAATATTCAAGTCATGATATATTAGTTTCTTGCAGTTCTTGATATGGAGCACAAGTCAGAGCCTGCAGGCAGAGTGCAGGGGCATACAATCTAAGATTTTTTGTGAAGGCACGTAGAGTTTGAGTCATGTCAGAAATGAAATGTCGGCAGGGCCTTGAGTTATCCATGAAAAACTTTTGTTCCGTCAATCTTTAGATTGAGTAACTTCACTTAACACAATCATATTACAACTTCAGTATTTTACTAATTTCCTTTCCTTCAAGGGCCTATTACTGGGAGAGTTTTTTTTTTTTTTCACTGGATTCTGCATACCAGAAAAAGTATTTAGGATATATCTCTACAGTATTTTATTTATTTATGGCTTTGTTCCATCTGTCTATCCTGGACCTTTTATGATTCATTCAGTTTGACCGCATGTTCTGCTGGCTCCATTGGCATTTACAAGTTCTGTTGTCTTTGAGGTTCCTGGGCATATCCATATCCTTTGACATCTTATAACTTCAGTCCTGACAATTCTAGGCTTTCAGTGATGAGTGCCTGAACCTTTTATGATTCATTCAGTATGACCTCAATTTCCATTTTCCTTGTTAGTGTTTTCCATTGTGCAGTCATTAAGAAGTTCTGTAATTCTCAGTCTTCACCTGGAGAGGGAGCACCTCTTAAATTACATTTTATTTTCTTGATACATGTCTGGTGCTTACTTCTCGTACCACCGAGCTTCTCTCCAGATACTGGTTCAAATCCAGGTCAATCTTTTTTCCAGCATATTTCACAGAGACCATCATTTATTTGATCACAATAATATTTTTGTTTAAAACTGAACGTGTTGAATATACCTGGAGCTTGTACAAGAATGGTATACAATAAGTGTCAGGGGCCCGAGACTGTTCAACTGCCTCCCAGCACACATAAGGGGGATTACCAACAGACCCCTGGCAGTCTTCAAGCTGGCACTGGACAAGCACCTAAAGTCAGTTCCTGATCAGCCGGGCTGTGGCTCGTACGTTGGTTTGCGTGCAGCCAGCAGCAACAGCCTGGTTGATCAGGCGCTGATCCACCAGGAGGCCTGGTCACAGACCGGGCCGCGGGGGCATTGACCCCCGAAACTCTCTCCAGGTAACTCCAGGTAATACCGACAAGATGAAATTAAGGCACCTTGCTTCTGCTTCAGAATCTCCAAGACTACGGTGCTCTTCGCACCTACTCCTAGGTTGAGGGACTGATTACCTCATCTTCTGTACATAGTTCTACTATCTTCTAGTTATGTCCTGGAATTTGTATTGATAAAGCCACTGGATGGCAAAACTTCTACAATAAAGATACCCAGATGTTGCATATGTGTCTTAATTTCATACCTGGAGAGAGTTCTGGGGGCCTCATGGCGAATCAAGAGCCTGATCAACCAGGCTGTTACTGCTGGCTGCACGCAATCCAACGTACGAGCCACAGCCCGGCTGATCAGGTACCGACTTTAGGTGCTTGTCCAGTGCCAGCTTGAAGACTGCCAGGGGTCTGTTGGTAATCCCCCTTATGTATGCTGGGAGGCAGTTGAACAGTCTCGGGCCCCTGACACTTATTGTATTGTCTCTTAACGTGCTAGTGACACCCCTGCTTTTCATTGGGGGGATGTTGCATCGTATGCCGAGTCTTTTGCTTTCATTGCGAGTGATTTTTGTGTGCAAGTTCGGTACTAGTCCCTCTAGGATTTCCCAGGTGTATACTAGTGAATAATTGTATTTTACTGCTGAAGACTAGTATATAGAGATTTGAACCTATTACATTTTTTTTTTTGGGGGGGAGGGGGGACATTGTTCTGTACCAGATCCTCACTGTTTGAGCACAAGTTAAAGGACAATTTTTTTCTTGTTAAGTTTTGTCTGTTCCACTATTTCCTCTCCTATGGCTAATAGTCTGATTGTACTAGATCCTGGGAATTTTCTGCTATTTCAGTCTATTCTACATATACACTACTTTCATTTTTAATGTAAACTGAAATCACCAAGCAACAAGGCATTAGGACCAAGTTTGATTTTTTTTTTTTTTTTTTTAGATAGTATTAGATTTTGCAACAGTGTCTTGAACTGTTAAGAAGTTGTATTGATGGCCTATAAAAAAAAGTACAATAACCACTATTTTCAATTTTTACTGCTAAAACTTCAGCTACATCTGTGAAGTTAAGTAACTGTAAATGAGAAACATAACATACAGACCAACCCCCTCCCTCCATCCATTTTTTTTCTGTCTTGTCTAAGCAGATTGTACCCAGGGATCAATATTTCATTGTCAAAGTAATCTTATACGAGTGTCTCTGAAAGCCACAAACAATGCATCTGGTTTAGTGAGGAGTCCATTAATGTTATTGTCCATTTGAAGACTTTGTATGTTTGCAAACTAATGTTATATTTGTTGTGCTGGGGGCTGTCAATAGGCTTTTCTACTTTATGAGCCTGGATATTGCTATATTCAACCTCACAACTAGGCTGATCTGGGACCTATAAAAAATTTACACTTCCACCAAAAGACTCCCTTTTGTACTAGAATCATCTTAAGTCTGCTTTTAGATGCGAAGAATTCTGTAAGTGTGCTTACTGAACCCCTGCTTTTCATTGGGTTTATTCTACACCTCTTAGCTTATCATTTTGGTATGCAGATCTAGTACCCGACCAAGCATCTGTCATGTATAGATTATGACCACAAATCACTCACATTCAGAGTGACTAAAAAAAAATTGCCAAACCTAAAAATCTTACAACTATCTTTGAGTAGCCTGGATAGAACTAACCTGGTTCTGGTGTGGGCTCTGCAGAAGCTTCCTGTGAGGGTGCAGATTCGTGTGGGGAAGGCTCAGCAGTACCCTCTGGGGAAGGCTCTGGTTCTGCTGTTCCTTCCTCTGCATGCACACCCACCGTAATGGCGAGAAGTCCAAACAAAGCAAATACCAGCCAGAACTTCATTTTGACCTGGTGACAAATGTTTATAGTAAGATTTTTCACAGCAGTACAATACTGTACTCGTTTAAAGAACAAAAGTTAAAAAACTGATCTTAAGCCAAATTAGCATATTTAATTGAAATTTGTGGATAGACACTTATGGACAGTTCAGGACATTTAATAAAGGAAACTTCAACTACAAGTGGCATCAGTCCTAGTACAGAGGAAGCTAAAACAAGGTCTTTTACAAATGGACAGCAGGTGACCAGTTGTGAGGATGAGCCAAGCCAGGTACAGTACATAGGTTGGACAAACAAGTGCAAAGGACTGGACTTTGGAAGCACCTGCCTACCCTGGGCCAGCGAGCCTGCTGCAGTGATTTTTCCATGATTATGTTCACTGCTCTTACAACGTGATACCCGATCCTAATACAATCGTAGACTTTTTTTATGCCCTGAAGCTCCCAGACCATTGTGGGCTTGCAGCAATGATGGTGATAAAGGATAGGTAGCCTCAGTTTCCAAACCTTCAACTAAAATAGTGTTCCCAGTGTATTTGGATCATCCGTCTCATAAGAACAATGAGCGTAATGGAGATGCACTGTAGCAGGCCTTCTGGCCCAGGTTAGGCAGGTCCTCAAACCCAACCATTTTTACTCGCAAATCTGTCCAACGGATATACTGCAACCTGACCGCCTTGCCTTATCCTCACTACTGATCACCTGCTCTGTTTACTATACAACACCATTTTAACTTACTGTTTTAGGACTGAAGCCACTGGTGGTAAAATGCTTCCTTAAATGTCTACCACACCTTGTCAGTATCCCCATACCATTTACAATATACATGTACTGTGTATATGAAATTTGCAATGGAAGTGGCCAAAAAGCTTTTAAACTTTTCAGAAAAATGTAACATTAAAAATTGTGAATTATTTTTTTATTATCTCACTGGCCGATTCCCACCAAGGCAGGGTGGCCCGAAAAAGAAAAGTTTTCACCATCATTCACTCCACTGTCTTGCCAGAAGGGTGCTTTACACTACAGTTTTTAAACTGCAACATTAACACCCCTCCTTCAGAGTGCAGGCACTGTACTTCCCATCTCCAGGACTCAAGTCTGGCCTGCCGGTTTCCCTGAACCCCTTCATAAATGTTACTTTGCTCACACTCCAACAGCACGTCAAGTATTAAAAACCATGTCTCCATTCACTCCTATCAAACACGCTCACGCATGCCTGCTGGAAGTCCAAGCCCCTCGCACACAAAACCTCCTTTACCCCCTCCCTCCAACCTTTCCTAGGCCGACCCCTACCCCGCCTTCCTTCCACTACAGACTGATACACTCTTGAAGTCATTCTGTTTCGCTCCATTCTCTCTACATGTCCGAACCACCTCAACAACCCTTCCTCAGCCCTCTGGACAACAGTTTTGGTAATCCCGCACCTCCTCCTAACTTCCAAACTACGAATTCTCTGCATTATATTCACACCACACATTGCCCTCAGACATGACATCTCCACTGCCTCCAGCCTTCTCCTCGCTGCAACATTCATCACCCATGCTTCACACCCATATAAGAGCGTTGGTAAAACTATACTCTCATACATTCCCCTCTTTGCCTCCAAGGACAAAGTTCTTTGTCTCCACAGACTCCTAAGTGCACCACTCACCCTTTTCCCCTCATCAATTCTATGATTCACCTCATCTTTCATATTTCCATCCGCTGACACGTCCACTCCCAAATATCCGAATACATTCACCTCCTCCATACTCTCTCCTTCCAATCTGATATCCAATCTTTCATCACCTAATCTTTTTATCTTCATAACCTTACTCTTTCCTGTATTCACTTTTAATTTTCTTCTTTTGCATACCCTACCAAATTCATCCACCAACCTCTGCAACTTCTCTTCAGAATCTCCCAAGAGCACAGTGTCATCAGCAAAGAGCAACTGTGACAACTCCCACTGTGTGTGATTCATTATCTCTTAACCCCACGCCTCTTGCCAAGACCCTTGCATTTACTTCTCTTACAACCTCATCTATAAATATATTAAACAACCACGGTGACATCACACATCCTTGTCTAAGGCCTACTTTTACTGGGAAATAATTTCCCTCTTTCCTACATACTCTAACTTGAGCCTCACTATCCTAGTAAAAACTCTTCACTGCTTTCAGTAACCTACCTCCTATACCATACACCTGCAACATCTGCCACATTGCCCCCCTATCCACCCTGTCATACGCCTTTTCCAAATCCATAAATGCCACAAAGACCTTATTGTGAATATTTTTCTGAATTGTTTCATTTGAAATCTTAGACAACATTTAACACATCTGAATGAAAGATATATATGTACAATAGTAGTAGTACATTCAGGTATCACCTGGTCACCAGGCTTCTTCAGCTAAAATACAGGAGAGGGGCACACTGAATAGGAGAAATTTTTTTCCTGGGTAGAGGCATGGTTGACAAATAGGCAGCAGAGGGTTTGCATAAATGGGGAAAAATCAGAGTGGGGGCACATCACAAGCAGTGTTCCACAAGGGTCAGTGCTGGCCCCTTGTTGTTCACAACTTACATAAACGACATGGATGAGGGAATAAATAGCGACATAAGCAACTTTGCTGACGACACGAAAGTAGGCCGTCCAATTAATTCTAACGAGGACATTAGAGCACTCTAGGAAGACTTGATAGACTGAGGCAGTGGTCAGAGAAGTGGCAGTTGCAGTTTAATATAGAGAAATGCAAAGTTCTAAATGTTGGACAGGAAAATAACCATGCCACAAACTAAATAATGTAGATCTTAATATTACTGATTGCAAAAAGGATTTAGTTCTGCTTAGCAGTAATCTAAAACCAAGACAACAGTGTGCAAGTGTTCGCAATAAGGTGAACAGAATCCTTGGCTTCATATCATGAAGCACAAATAATAGAAGTCCTCAGGTTGTTCTTCAACTCAATATATCCTTGGTTAGGCCTCTTTAGATTATGCTGCACAGTTCTGGCCACCATATTACAGAATGGATATACGTAAATGCACTGGAAAACATACAAAGGAGGATGACAAAGATGATCCCTTGTATTAGAAATCTTTTCTACGAGGATAGACTGTGGGCCCTGAATCTGCACTCTAGAAAGGCGTAGAATTAGGGGGGATATGATTCAGGTGCATAAATGGAAGACATAAATAAATAAAGGGGATGTAAATAACGTGCTAAAAATATCTAGCCGTGTCAGGACTCGTAGCAGTGGTTTTTAACTTGGAAAAATTCCGATTCAGGAAGGAAATAAGAAAGCACTGGCTTGGCAATCAAGTTGTGGCCGAGTGGAACAAACTCCCGAGTACTGTCGTAGAAGCTAAAACGTTGTGTGCTTTTATAAGTAGGTTAGATAAATACACGAGTGGGTGTGGGTGGGTGAGAGGTGGATCTGACTAGCTTGTGCTAATGGGTCTGATGCCGTGGTCCTTTCTTCAGTGGATGTGACCTGCCCTACTAGGCTTGGGCCGGTGGGTGATTTGGACCTGCCTCGCATGGGCCAGTAGGCCTGCTTCAGTGTTCCTTCTTTATGTTCTCAATGCTAAGCACTAGACCTGCTTAGTATGGACCAATAGGCCTGCTGCAATGCTCCTCAATTTCTTGTCCTCTTCTACAAGTGGTCTCCGCCGCCTCCTACGTCATCGAGACCTTCACACCTCACCTTCGGCAGTATTTAAAGCTCCATTCTTTTGCTTCAGCCTCGAAGCCGGGTCACCATATGGAGAAGATCAGGGCCGGAAGTACCGGCGAATCTCTAATGAATGCTTCAGCCTCACATGTTCCAGACTAAGGAGCTCAACACACTTCTCCAGGTTGAGGGACTGACCCTCAAAATCTATTTCTCCAAGGTTGATGGACTGATTACACTTTGCTATTACGCCTGATGCCTTTATTTGATTGAAACCTACTGCGTATACGAAACGTTTGAATCAATAAAGATACCAAACTCTTCAACATGTTGGTATTATATACCACTTTCAACATACCATTAATGGTTTACAATAGCGACAAGTTGATTAATACAAGTGCAAAAGCTAGTTTCTTATTGACGAGAAGTTTGCCAACCACTATAATCTTTTAGAAGCAAGTCTTTAGTTGTAAGAGTCCTTTTAGACAAGTCTAATCACACCCCCGCAAACTAAAACAAAAAAAAAAAATAACCCAACAACCTTCAATCAAAACCGGTTCAACCACCAGTATTACCAAGACACTAGAGACAAACAGTACAAAAAAATCAAATACAAAACCCCGGCGACAGTATGACGCCACACACCCTCACCTCGATTAACTACTACGATAATAATTATAGCAAATTGTCTTATCACCTAATAGTAAGGTCACAATTTTAGGGACGCTCTTCGTAGTTTACCTGTCTAAATTAATTCTACAAATTAACATTTCAGTGTTGAATAAATACCATAGATATTTTTACCATCATCAAATTAACCAAAAATTTGTAAACAAAACCCGGACGGTATTTCCTCTTGAAGACGGAACAATGTCCAGGCTGTCATTTCCAATTTGCGATATGGCCTACAATCTAACTGGGGCCATTAATCCTATGATTTGCCCCCCATAACGATGAATACTGTCATTCGTTTATCTCGTGCCATTAACAGTTCCTACGAACCAATCCATAGTTCTTGATATGAAAAAACAAGTTATACAAACAGCTTTGGTGTATCATATCGACTAGTAAGGCTCGCTAAGTCCACCCAAGTGATGACGTCAATTCATTGTATCTATTGGTCCAACCAACCTGCTTGATACCACACCCATCTGCATTAGCTCAAGTTACGTTATAACACAAACCTCAGCTCCCTCCTAATGTTCAATACAACACGCACACTGTACGTACGTACGGCCAGGCGAACGTATACAGTACATGTATACGTACCAACACCAGCAGCACCGCCAACACACACAGTAGTATTAAATACGAATATAATTTTTCTTACTGTGGAAACAGTAAGAAAAATTATA